GATTGGTTTAATGTTTAAAAATAATCAATATAATTCATCATATTAAAGTATTAAACGAAAAACAACTGATCATCTCAGTAGATGCAAAAAAAGATATGAAAAAAATTCAACCCCATTCATGATAAAAACTTTTAGCAAGAGAAAGTGTAGGGGCCACAATACCTCAATAACAACAAGCACATCTGACACCCAGATATTCGTTTCTGAACCCCTCTCCACTAAAAGGAACCAAGGTTGCTTGGAGAAGTGGTTGGTTTTAGAGCCGAGGCATGAAAAATACAAGATAAACCATAAACATTTTGTGGCACCAGATAGCAAAGTGCTCAAAAAGGATGGGCCATGTCAAATGACAGAAGCTAACGAGAAGGAGCTCCCAGTGGCCAAAGGTGGGACAATCTGAACAAAATAGTAATAGTGCTGGATTATAACCCTTAGTATAAGAAAGCAGCTATGAGTTCACACTAATAAATAATTAAATAAAATAAATGATGGAGAAAGGACAGCTCTTCCTCATAGAATTACAACTAACAAGGACTGATGGAAACAGAAAATCACCAGCAGGCAAACACGACGGTAATAACTGGGGAAGCAAGATTTACTAATGGATGCTAAAGTTAGTCAAGTTCCAGAAGAAACAGAATATGTGCATCGTCTCAAAGCATCTTCCTCTATATTAATTACAATTGGAAATACAGTCATTTTACAGTGGAAAACTTGGCAGATACCACCTAACAAGGCACAATGAAAAGAGGTGTGCCTGTATTTATTACCTATAGTAATGGAGCCAGTATATAAGATGACTGAAGAGTAAAATATCTGATGGAGCAGATAAGGACAGAAACAAAGCCAGGGGGATGTACTCACCTCCCCTGGGAGAAATGCCTCATTCTCTAAAAACTACAGGAAAGGGGTAAGGAAGGGCATTCCTATAGGTAAATTTGTAGTAAAGAGCAAAAAGTTAAAAATTTCAGTGAAGTAGGAGGTAAGGACCTCTATTTTGGGTGAAGTGACAGGAAAGTCAAGGGGAATGAGAAGTTTTGGTCAAGTTCTTGAACAGAATGAGAGAGAGAACTAAATGGGGTCAAGCAAGCAATAGGATTTGGGCAATGCTGAATACTCAGACGAGGGTGGAAATAATGAATTTAAAACAAAGCTCATCTGTATATTGGGTCCTTTTTCTCTAGCCCTCAGATACAGGAGTAGAACAGTAGACTGAGGATTGGGTTGGCATTTTACAGAGGTATGGCAGAAAGACAGGAACGCAAAGAAGGCCAAATGTTGGGAGTATTTCAGTTAATCAGCTATAAGATCCAGGGTAGCTAGGTTAAGAAAAGAGGCTGTAAGGAAAAAAAAATGTAAGAGAAAAGCTAGTGACCTGTAGATAGGCTTGGAAGGATAAAATGTGTTGGTCATAGTGAGGTGTTAAGAGTTGAAGATTTCTGAGGTGGTATAACTACACATGAGAAGAGGGAGGTTGCAGCCCTGGTAAAAATTTTCCCTTGGGGGTGACGATCACTGGCATTAAGTGAGTCCCGGAAGAGGGCAGGCTCTTTCTATGTGTGTTCACTTATCTCCTAATACAAGTTTCTCACCACTACTGAACACCTCTGAAATTTGTCAGCTTCATTACGGTAATACAGAAAAGATGTTTTACTCAAAATGACACAATGCTTCTAGAGAAAAAGCACAGATGCCTGGTCAGATGCTGAGTGTACGACTTTGGACAAATTATAGCATTCAAAGCCTTGAGGTAATCCAGTCTGTCTATCCTCTTTGTTCCTTAACATCCCATCTGTAAAAACAGCAATAATACAACCAGCCCTACATCCTTTACAAATAAATATGAAGAGAGGCAGATCATAAAGGCACAACGTTCTTTAGGGGGAAAAAAAAGAACTTTAAAATAAAAAAATTAACTCAGCAACACTTCTTTCAAAAAGGACGATATAAGGGAGCAATGAAAGAGAACAATTACATAAAGGAAGAGAAATTAATCTAAACAGGAAACCAAAGAGCTCATAGGAATGCATCCATAGTCCAACAAAAACCAAATAGCTTGACACTAATTCAAAGTCAGCCTTTTCTTCTGACTGACATACTGAAAGAGACTCGGGGAAAGACGAGTCAAAAATGAAAGCTACTTTATCCACCATACAGGAGCAGAAATTACTGTCATCCTTAAGATAAACTGTTATAAGCTAACAATATTTATTTTTAGACAGAAAGAGTATTAAGAGGAGCTGGTAAAAGCAATTCGTTACAAAGTCAGTTTTTTTTAAGTTTGACATTCATTTATAAAAATTGTTTTACTCTTTTCAAGGCAAAAATATATACTTCTGAAACAAGTTGTAGAAATTTACAGTAACAAGAAAAACAATATTTTGAAGAATCAAATAAAAATCTAAATATGCTTCTAGCCATAAAAAGTCTGACCCTACCACACAAAATCAAACTAGTTACCGGAGTCACTGGGTATTTAAGAAACATTCTATTCATGAAAGATCAAAATTAAAAGTACCCTAGCAGCAAATGTGGCCTATTAATTACAAATGGGCTTGATGAAATATATAATCTCTTTGCTGTCTATCTCACTTTTAGGTTAATGTAACTATTATTTCTTTATGTTTCTTTTGCTTGGTTGTTTAACATTTTTTCTAATGAAAATGTATTATTCCTTGTATTAAAAAAATCAAAATATAAATGTTATTGAGGGCTTTGAGGAATGTTTACATATACACTATTAATGGGACTCTAAACTAGGAAAACTTTAGAGGGAAATTTGACAATACTATGTCAAAAGCCTTTAAAAATGAATACATTCCTTAACCCCACAATTCCAATCCTAGGAATTTATCATAAGGAAATAATTATGGATACATGCAAAGACTTCAATATGGAAAATTGTAAAAACTGAAAATAATCCAAAAGGCCAACATTAGGGAAACGGTTACATGAATTATGGTTTATCTGTTTTATGTTATCTGTGCACTATTAAAAGTCAAAAGAACTTCTCAAAAACAAACAAACAAATTATCAAATAACATGGTAAAGGGCTCACAATCTTCTGATGAGTAAAAATGGTTACAGAATCTGTATTAATAAGTGAATTAAATTGTGTTTTTTTTGTGTTGCTGAATTACTCATAGTTTCTAAAATGGATAATAAAAAAGTACTTACAGATTTTATTTAAAAAGTTATTTTAAAAAGAATCTTGCTAATTCTTCCACAAAACATTTAACAAATAAAATACGGAGACAACACTGAAAAAACAGAGAACGTTTTTCATATAATTTTGTACATGTTAGTCCATAATTTTATATTAATACCTAACTAGTATTTGTAATTTACACAAAATATTGATTTTTCAAAAATGTATTTGGAAGCCCTGTGTTCTAATATTAAGAGTAATGACTAAGCCCTTGTTTTTAGAATCAACAACTCCCCTAATTCATCAGAAGCTCATATTCCATTCAACTTCATCTGACTCAGTTTCTCTTTGTATAGCATGAGTATAAACTTTTTCACAAGAATGTTAAAAGGAATATATCATATATAAAATTGTCTGAAAAACAAAAACAGAAAATACCTTCTTGATCTCCAATCCTCTAGTCACTTTTGTAACCCTAAACAAATTATTTAAGCTGTATGCCCCTCAATTATTGTATTTTTTTTCCTGTAAAATGGGCAATATTAAACTCCTGAAGGTTTTCTTTGAATTATTAAAATATAAACTTGCAAATTTTCACATAAAATTTATAATAAACAATGTGTTCCAAAGTAATAAAATAAGGGATAGTAATTCATGTAATTACTCTGGTATACTCTTTTCAGCAACAAATCATTCTTAAAACAATTAAACTACTGTATTTTTGTTTTCTTTTTGAGGCAATATAAAAACATTGATGCAATCTAGTGTTTATTCTGTGCCACTTGAGAATCTTATCCCTGAAATTAATCTGTACCCCAAGAACATATTTAGTACAGTTTTAGATGTATTGTAAAAATTCTTTTTATGGTGGTCTTTATCAAATACAAAATGAACAAACCAAAGCTATGAACAACTGTAAACTACACATACTCTAGGAAAGACTGCCCCCTTGTGCCAATTAGTAATATTCAACAGATTAAGAACACTAAACATATTTGACATTAGAAGTATCCAGACTTCTAAAAATGTCTTGATCTTTAAGTGTTCTGATTTCAACAGCTTACATTTAAAGCGGTTATCTTTAAAGAAAAATAAATTGAACAGTACATTAAGCTGATATGAACATGACTAATTTATGACATTCAGCAGCTAATAAGATAATTCGTAACATTGAACTATCATGGACACTAGCTGCTCAAGTGCTTAGAAGCTGAGCTCAAAGAGATAAGTAATTTTCTGATCTTTAAGTTCTACATAGCAATATACAGAGGAAATAATTAAAGAAATTGGTATGTTTCACAGAAAAAAATAGATGAAGCAAGAATAAAGTATGGTGACTTGTATGAAGATATACATATATATATAGCTGGCATCCAAGTTTTTAGGCATTTTTTTTTAATCTTAGAAAATAAGGTATTTCTTTGGATTTGATGAATGGCTAAATACCCTTTATAAAGCTTCTTGACATAAATAAGTGGTATCAGGCCATTTGAACAGAAGTCAGTATTAGTATTGTTACTAATATTATTACTAATAACCTACAGAAGTGGACAAAAGTATTAGAGCAATAGACTTGCTAAAGCAAAGAAACATTAGGCAATAAAAGGCATATTTCAGGTAACAATTAAGTGATGTGAATGCAGATTTTGGATATTTGACAGCATAACTTCTTTCCTAATTATGGTCAAAACAGTTGGAATTCCATTTCTACCAAATGGGATCATTAGAATTAATTGAATTAGCACCGATAAAACACTTGCTACAATAAATACCATAAAATGTTTCTTGTGTAAGTAAATGAATTAATAAGCATGGGAAACTACATAGTATGCCTATATTCAATAATACCTACTTTCGAAGGTGGTCATGTTCTTTCAAAAATAGTTCAGTTCTTCTGTTGTTTACTCCAGAGCCAGTTTTATATGACCTTGAACAAAACAGAAAATTTAAGAATATATTTGGCAGATACTGTAAAAAAAGATTAAGTGACTGAGTCTAGTAATTTCCAAAGTGGACAAATTGAGCCTCTCCACAGTTTTGATTGAACAATTAAAATGTATAATCCTTTTCATTTCCTTCTAAAAACGACATCTATTATAAATACATATAAATGCCTCTAATTTAGGCCAAGAGTTTATTATCTTTCATCAAAATAATCCAATATTCTTAAACAAACAAAAATCTTACTTCCCCTTTAGATGAAAAAAACAAATCTTTAAAATTATGGATTGAGATCAGCATAAAAATGTTGGAAGTACTTAAATAATTTGACATAAGGCTATGAGTTTGTACAAAATCTGGAAGAAACAGATGTTTCAGATTCTAGGTAAGTGAAAGCTACTTTGCAAGCTACCTGAATGTATAATTGTTGGGGCAAGGAGAGGGTAGGGGCAGAGGAGGTAATCAGGAGGGGAACACAGACAGCTTCAGTTACTGATAATGTTACAATTCTTCAGGTAGATAGTAGGAGATCAGAGAAAAACTCATGAAGATATCATCTAAGTGGGACTTTGAATTAAGATAGGAAAGTCAAGGTTGGCAGGAGACCATGACAAAACTAGGGGGAGCTGGAGATAAGACCAATAAGGTAGATCAGGACCATATTGTAAGCAGAAATGTTTTAAAAACAGTGAAATGTGAATTAGAAACCTTGAAATCTAAATCATAGCTCTGCTACTCACTTTGCTGTTAATCATGGATATACTCAAAATTTAAATCTGAATAAACGTCCTACAAAATAATATAAAAGGTAACTTACTCGATATCCTTTCGTACTGATCCCATGAGATTCTCCCTTTCCCGTATTGCCATAAAGTTTGCTTTGGTTTTATGGAATTCATGTGTATAATCCTGCAATAAATCAGTATCCAGTCTCAACATAAGCTAATTATATATTTTCATCTTACTGAGCCAGTTATGTATTGTCATCATATTATAAATTCCTGTCAGGCAAATTGCTATTTAACAAATCAAATTGCAAAGAGGTAAAAATAACTATAATCACTTTCCTGAAGTGTGTGTGACCTTTTAAATGAAAACAACTCAGTACTAGGGTAACAGTGCCACTAAATCACTACCCTTCCTGTTTTCATTAGACAGGAAGGTGCAGAGTTGTAAAGAAAAAAATAATTCTAAGATAAAATGACTTCAAAGAGCCTAGGATAAAACTTAGGAGGCTCTTTCTAATCATCAGTGCATCCGATGGGGCTTATTTTAAAATTTCATCTTTTTGGAACTCCTACAGAAATTCTTAAACCAGTCAAAGGAAGAACAGAATCAAGAGAATTGTAAAGAACAAAATAAGCTTTAAATACTTTCCTTTCTTTTTTTACTACCATATTTTTAGGACACTAAGGAGTATTCATTACTTTTTTTAAAATTCAGAGACATTCAGATGAAAATCATAACCCCACTTGCCAGAAAGCCCCTATTGACACTTTAAAAACAAAAATAATACATGAACATGGGAGAATACTGAAAGAGCACCAAAAGGAATAAAAGTAAAAACCATCCTGCTCCACAGTTCATATCACTATCATCACTTTCTTTAATTTTCTTTCAGGATATATGTTTTTGCATATATAAGCTTATCTATTATTTCTTTCATTCTGTAGTTCATAAAATATCAAGTAACCTTTCCATATTAGCAAATAGAAATCTACGTTCTTTTTAATAGCTTATGACTATCATAATTTAATAAATTGCCTACTGATGAACATTTTAGTTGCTTTTTTTTTTTTTCTGTTAAAAAATGCCACAATAAACATTATTGTATATGTATTTTATTGAACTCTCTCTCATTAAACTGCATTTAAAGAGTAGATGCCTAGCAGAATACCTGGATCAAAGAATCTTACATTAAATTTTGGTAGTGCTAAACTGCCACATAGACAGACTGCACCGATTTATGTTCCCAGAAAAATGGATGAATGCCCATTTTTTTACATTTTTGCCAAAAACAGGCTACAAATGTTTCAATATTTGCTAATCTGACAGATGAAAAATCATGTCTCATTTTAATTTGTATATTTTTATTTGGGAATGCAGCTGAACATTTATGGTTCTGGCTACGCATTTTCTGTAAACAAGTCCATATCCTTTGTCCATTTTCCTATTAGGTTATCTTTTTCTCATTTCTATTATTTCTCTGTACATTAAGCAAATTAGTCATTTGTTGTAGTTTCAGGTATTAGGTCTTACTTAGGAAGTACTTTACTACCCAAAATGTATAATTTCATCCATGCTTTATTCTGAATTTTTATGATTTCTTTTTCTACATATAAGTCTTTGATCTATTTGGAATTTACTTTGGGTGGGAGGCATGAGATAAGAATTTAAGGAATTCGCCCCCCTCCCTCCAAATTAGCCAACTGTTGTTATAGCTCTATTTATTTTATCTTTTCAAGTTTTTAAGTTTTTATAAATAGTTTATCTATTTCAACAACAAGCTCTATTTATTTTATAATCCCTCTTTTTTTCCCTCCATGGATCTAAACCACCACCTTTATGGTAAAACTAAATTTCCATGCACATTTGGGTCTATACATGAACTCTATTCTGTTCTACTGGTCTCTTTTTCTCTACAATCAAACTGTCTTAATTATTTTAGTTTCTTAACAGGTTTTAATATCTGGTAGAACTAGGCATCTTTTACTACTTATCTTCATTTTTACATGTTTTTTCTTGGTTATTCTTGTATGTATGATTCCAAATAAACTTTGGTGTCATTTTATCAAATATATGGTGATGGAAAGAGAACTTACTCTGGGTGGTGAACACACAATGTGATGTATAGATGATGTATTACAGAATTGTACACTTGAAACCTATGTAACTTTACTAACCATTGTCACCCCAATAAACTTTAATTAGAAAAAAACAAAAACAAAAACAACTTTGGAGTCATTTTGCCAATTAAAAAATAAAATAAACAAACAAAAAAACATTATTTCCATTGGGAAAGTATTCAATTTATAGGTGGATTTAGAGAGAACTCTTCTCATCCAAAAGCAGAGTAAATCTTTTACGTTCCTCAGTAGAGTTCTATACATATGAGTCCTATACAGTCTTACTAAATTTATACATAAGAATTTTATAGTTTCTTCCATTGTACTTTCTAACAGGTTATTGTTTGTATAAGAAAAACTACTTACTTTTATATATTAATTTTGTAATCCATCATCTTACTGAATTTGTTTCTAATATTTTTTTAGTTTTCTTGTTTGTATTAGCTATATATATATAACTGTATCACTGCCACATAATATAAATTTTGTCTTTTCCTTTCCAATATTTATATCTTGTTTCTTTTTTTTTTAAAGATTTTATTGGGGAATCGGGGAAGGGGAACAGACAAGTTGCTGTTGGTTTGTTCTTCAGTCTAGTTGTGGAGGAGTTGCTTCACTGGCCCAAGCTGGCACCATCACTGCGCTCTTCCCGGGTGAGGCAGATCAGTCGCCAGCCTCTGGACGGCCACTCACGGCGGCTGCTGGCCGCTCACGCTGGCTGCCGGTTACACACAGTAGCTTATGGCAGCCCACTGCAGCAGGGGACTGCAGCCTACGCCGTCGCCGGCGACCCACGGCAGCCCAGCTCCAGGTCGAGCTGTTGTTCAGCATCTTAGCTGTAGAGGGCAGTGTCACTGGCCCTCATATGTGGGATCCGAACCGGGGCCCTGTGGCATCCCAAGCCAGTTCTTAACCAACGCACCACTTGGCTGGCCCTCTTGTTTCTTTCTATGGTCTAACTGCACCACCAAGAACTTGCAAAACAATGTTAAACATCTGTGATGATTATGGGTATCCTTGTCTTATTTTGTCTTTAATGGGAATACTTTTAGTGCTTTATTATTAAGCATGATGCTAGCTTTTAATCTGATATACACATTTTTGCATTAGGCAAATAAAGTATCCTTTTATTCCTATTTTTAACAAAGAGTTTTTAAAATTAGAAATGGTTGCTGACTTTTTTCAGTATTAAAAATATTTGCCTGCTATATTTTTAACACCCCCATATGTAAATATTTAAGAATTTATTTCATTTTATTCATATACTTTTAGTATTTTCTCAAACAATATACTAAATATAGTAAATTACTCCTCTTCCACGTTATTCAAAGCCTAATAAAAATATACTCTAAACCACCACATTATTGCCTAAGCATGACCATTAGCTATTTCACTGTTATAGTTAGCTAGCGAGGTCTTCCACATTAGTACTTTTACCTACTGATGAATATTATTTAATTTTACCAGGCAAAAGCAAGAGTTATTAGACATATTCAGAATTTTATAATACCAAGAAGAAAAAAGTAAAACAAGACAAACTTTTATAGCATGGAATTTATCCTCCCAGATTTTTCCCTCTGTTCTCTTAAATACATGTGCACACACATTCTATTCAGGGGTTAGAAAAACAAACCCTATAATAACACAAAATCTCAAGCCCAATATATTACCTGCAATATGTCTCTATGTCGCTGTAACGTGTGCATCAGTGCAGCATTCAAAGAGGGTACACCCGCACTATTGGTATATTCTGCCATTTTATCATTTACTTCTGTGAGCTAAAAAAAAAACCACAAAAAACAAAGAAAAAACTCCATAAAAATATTTTAGAAAGCACTATAAAGAGATAGAAAGTAAATTATGTGCTGTTTGCTCTTTGGACAACAGAAAAAAACAAACCAAAAACAAGAAAACAGTGGGCAAGGATTCAGTATTTCCACCAAATAATACACAAAAGCTAAAATAACACTATGGCTATCATCAAAATTCAAGTGGCCTGGGAGGCACACATCTTGAATGAAAGGGTCATTTCAATAAACATGTCTGCATTAATATAATCTAGTACCATATCTAACTATTACAAGGTTATTAGCAAAACAGCCATTTAACAGAGAAAACTTACCTTTGCCAAAAGCTGTTCAATCTCAATGGCCATTGTTTCAAACATTCTGTCTTGGCTTGATCCATTTAAAAGTGGTGTTGTGTCAGAGCTAAAGAGAAGTTCAAATAAAAAGAATCCATTACTTAAATCTAATCCTTTAATACATACTTAAAATAATAAGGCAATTATTCCTAAAGAGATCAAGTGGAATTCCTGAGACATTCTCTCTGTTTCTTAAGAAGCTGTAATTTTTATAAAAGTTTTCCTATAAAGATCACACATATCCTAAATATTAAATTCAGTATAAAATATAATTGAATGTAAGATTTTCCCAAGCTTTAATACATTCAATCTTAATAATGTAAAGAAATTCCAAATGCTTGTTTACTGTTTCCCAAATGAAAGTAACTTAAGCTATGGCAGTGCCCCATTAAATGCTGAATCTAAAAGAATATATTATTTGAAATAAAACTGTTGAGCTAGGTAGTACTTCATATAAGAGGAGCCATAAAATGTATTATGAATTATGCTATGGGATCTGTGAGGAATAATCTTTAAAATTTTTTACTGCAAAGCTATTGTGGTTGCATATAATACAGACCTTATGGTTGTACATAATATAGACCTTAAATTAAGTTCTCTCTTCTTTCCTTGACTCTTACCAAGAAGAAATAAAATAAAATTGAGATTTAAATGATCAACAGATTGGATAACTAGTTATTAAATAATCAGAAACTGGCTTTCAGTCTAATACAGACAGCCATGACCAGCAGGGAAGTTTTTTAGTGCTAACCCTCCACATTTCCACTTACATTATGCAATTGTTTCAGTTTTGTTTGGCAAAATGTGCTGAACTCTTTTAAAATCTAAATTTCAGAATTATATAAAAATGTAACTTTTTACAAGTGAAACTTATGTTTGACAGATTCACATTCTAAAACCACATGCCCTGAAAGTTCTTTTGCCTCTTCGGAAAAACCACTAACCTTCGTTAGGTCCCCAAGTGGTGTGTATTATCACACGAGCAGCTCAATATAGAGCTTAGTTATACTGAGCACAGATAAATACCTAGGCAATGACAATGCTCTCCAATCTTACTGAAAACTTTGTCCTGCCCTGTGACAATGATTGGGTATGGCAAATGAAAACAGATTACATCATCAGTTTCACATCAAAATAGTACCTTAGCCATTACTATTTCCCTTCTCCACACACACTTCCACAGCAGTAGTAACGAGCAATGCAACAGACAAAAAAGTAGCTAATAAGCATTTTTAAGATGTTTAAGTTCAAATTTTTATTTCTTGAAACATTTCAATTTACCTTAAAAAAAAAAATCTAATTCTTTATTATTGTCAGAGGCAACCCAAGTTTCTGTGGTTATCTCTTAAATGTGCCCAGGCAAAAATACTCTATATGCGAGATCCTCCCATACCAAATACTATATGAAAAAGAACAATTGGCCAATGAATGTAAGCTCCATGAAGAGGGAAATTACCTACGTCTTATTCACAGATATATGCCCAACTCCTAGAATACAGCTTGGCACATTGTAGATGCTCATTAAATACTTGTAGACTGAATGAGGAGGCAATTTCTACATTCACCATTCTCAGGAGAGTAAACGAATCTAGGGAAATGGTCAAAAACTCATTCTCCACAATAATAAAATTCAGTTAAATTTAATTCAATTTATAGGTATGTGATGATTCATAGACCACTAATTTCTCAAAATACAGAAAATACAAAAATTACGCCTGGAAGGAAAACTCTGGTCATTGCTGAATTTATTCATTGTGACGTATTTTCAACCTGGGCAACAAACAAAACACTTTAGAATGTACATTGGATCTTGATCCTCATGACCTTAGGTTTCTTATTGAATGGGATAGGTAGGCTGAAGTAATTCCACAAAGTCAGTCCCAATTTGTTGTAGAATTTCTTAAGGAATGTCTTCAACATAGGTTTTCCTTTAAAGGAGTCACAAAAGTATTAAGTTTATGAAGTACAGAGAACACAGAAAAAGTATCATGTAATTTTACCTCTTACCTATTTGGAGTTTTAAAATTGTATGATCACTGGCATAGCCAAGTGGGAGACATAAATTCAGGAAATATGTTTTCCAGTTGTAAAATAAATTTAATCATAGAAAGGAACATTCTTCAACTCTCTTTACTTACTAAGTAAAGACAAGCCCAAAGCAATGCACTGCAATTAAAGCTATGTGACATGCCAACAGCTTACTTTCAGATCCTAGAGTCAATATGCTGATGTTGGCCCTGCTATCTTTCATTCTTTAATAATGTGCCCTATTGATTGGACAGCATAAATTGGTAACTACAATACTGCCACAGGGATATAAAAGACGGTTTGGGGAATATAATTAATAATGTTGTAAATATTTTGTAGGGTATCAGATGGACACATGTCTTGTTAGGAAGACCACTTCATGGATGGGGTAGAGGCTTGATCACTGCACTGTACACTTGAAGCTGATGCTGAATAATATTGTATGTCAACTATAATTTATTGTAATATATATAATATATATGTATTATATAGATACACATATATATATATTCTATACATCCTGTGGGGGGGAATACACACACACACACACACACACACACACACACACACACATATATATACATATCCCCCCCCTCCCACGGGATGTATAGTGTGGGAGTCAATGGAACTGTGATATGTGATAGATATATATGATATGGGGGGGCGGTGGATTGGGGGAGGGGGTTGTCACTTTGTAAGGGGTGAAAAGCATAATGGTTGCATTGTTTTGTACACCTGAAATTAATAAAAAAATAACATGCCCTATTAAAAAGAATTAACACTTTGGCTATAGAGTTGAAATGAGTTTTTTGTTAGATTGTGCATAGAAAGTTTTAGAGCGTGGCAGCTATGGAGACAGAAAGATATGGGTTTAAATCCAAGCTCAATTTTTATTATTATTAGCTGAAAAATAACCCACCACCAATCCTCAAAAAAGTATCTAGATAACATTATGCTAAGTGAAATAAGTCAGATGGAGAAAGACAAATACCGTATGATCTCACTTATATGTGGAATCTAAAAAACTGAATAAATGAGCAAACTAATCGGAAACAGTCTCAGAGATATAGAGAAAAAACTGATAGTTGCTAGATGGGGGGGGGGATGAGGGAGAAGGTGAGGGGATTAGAAAGCACAAATTGGTAGCCACAATATTGCAATAGGGATACGATCAATAATGTAGTAAATATTTTGTAGGGCATGAGGTGGGCACTCATCTTATTAGGGAGACCACTTCATGCATGGTGTTGATGCCTGACCACTGCACTGCATACCTGAAGCTGAATAATACTGAATGTCAACTATAATTTTACATATATATGTATATTACACATAGTCACAGGATATGGAGTACACCATAGGAAATAGAGTCAATGGAATTATAACCTCTATATATGATGTCAGAGTTGATTGGGGGAGGGGGGTTATCACTTTGTGACGGGTATAAATGTCTATTACATTGTTTTGTACACCTGACGCTAATAAAAAATAAAAAAATAACAATAACTATAACACTGACCACCAAAAAAAAAAAAAAGTATGTAAAATAAACACAGGACTGGGCCGGCCAAGTGGCACGTTGGTTAAGAGTTGGCTTGGAGTGCGAGCTCTAAGCAGCAGGGCCCTGGTTCGGATCCCACATGAGGGCCAGTGACGCTGCACCCTCTACAGCTAAGATGGTGAACAACAGCTCGACCTGGAGCTGGGCTGCCATGAGTCGCCAGCGGCGGCGTAGGCTGCAGTGGAGCTGCAGTAGGCTGCCATAAGCTACCGTGAGCGCCTGGCAGCCTACGTGAGCTGCCAAGAGCCACCATGAGTGGCCATCCAGTGGCCGGCGACCGATCTGCCTCATCTGGGAAGAGTGCAATAATACCAACATAGGCCAACGAAGCGACATCCTCCACAACTAGACTGAAGAACAAAAGGACAGCAACTTGTCTGTTCCCCTTCCCCAATTCCCCACCACTGTTCCCCTCCCCCAAATCCCAAAAATCTTAAAAAACCAAAACAAAACACAGGATAACAACAACTCTGCTACTAGCAATTTCACTGTTAGATACATATAAGTAAAAATGTTCCCAGCAGTCTTTATATAAAGCTCTTAAAACAGTACCTGACACATGATGGCTAGTGCCAGCTATTAAAATTATTAGCAAAAATTGAAAACAATATCCATTTACATAATAAATTATGACATAATCATACAAGGTAATTCTATATGTAGCAAATGAATATACCAGAGTTAAATGTATCCATAGCTTCATCTCAAAGATAATGTTAAACAAAAAAGCAAGTTGCAAAAATACTACAGTAGGATACTATGAATTGTTTAGGAACACAAACATATACAGTACAGCAAAAATATATGGATTACGGGGAGGGAACAAATGGATGCCATCAGGGGCTTCGACTGAATTGGTAATGATTATTTCTTAAAGTGGGTGATAGGCACAGGGGATTCATTATATTATTCTTTATACCTTTTTCTAAGTGTCTTAAATATTTCCTAATATTTTTTGAAATAAGTGGATGGCCTAAAGTGAGGATAAGATTCAAAGATAAGAACACATTTTCCAATAGAGCTACCATATAATTCAGCAATTATTCTTCTGAATATTTATCCAAAGAATATGAAAACACTAATTTGAAAAGAAATGTATACCCCCATGCTCACTGCAGCATTATTTACAATAGCCAAGATATGGAAACAACCTAAGTGTCCATCGATGACTGAATGGATAAATCAGATGTGGCATACAAACATACACACACACACATATATGCATAATGAATACTACTCAGCCATAAAAAAGATGAAATATTGCCATTTGCAACAATATGAATGGTCCTTGAGGTTATTATGTTAAGTGAAATAAGTAAGACGGAAAAGGACAAAAACCGTATGATTTCGCTCATGTGGAATGAAAAACAAAAAAGAAACAAACCAACACAAAAAACAAAAACAAACTCATAGATACAGAAAACAGGTGGGTGGTTAGGGAGAAGGTAACCATGGAAAAAGGGGGTCAAATGTATAGTGACAGATGGAAACTAGACTTTTGGTAGGGAGCACACTATAGTGCATAAAGATATAGAATTACAATGTTGGGGGCCGGCTGAGTGGCACATTGGTTAAGAGTTGGCTTGGGACATCATCTCTGAGCAGCAAGGCCCTGGTTTGGATCCCACATGAGGGCCAGTGACGCTGTGCCCTCTACAGCTAAGATAGTGAACAACAGCTCGACCTGGAGCTGGGCTGCCGTGAGTTGCCAGTGATGGTGTAGGCTGCAATGAAGCTGCAGTGGGCTGCCATAAGCTACCGTGAGTGGCCGGCAGCTGGCGTGAGTGGCCAGCAGGCAGCATGAGCTGCCAAGAGCCACCGTCAGCTGCTGTCCAATGGCTGGCAAGCGACTGCCTCGCCCGGGAAGAGTGCAATGATAATACCAACATGAGCCAGTGAAGCGACGCGTCCTCCACAACTAGACTGAAGAACAAAAGGACAGCAACTTGTCTGTTCCCCTTCCCCAATTCCCCAATGCTGTTCCCCTCCCCCAATTCCCCAATAAAATCTTAAAAAAAAAAGAAATTTACAATGTTGTACACCTGAAACTTATATGTTATTAACCAATGCTACTTCAATTTAAAAAAAATTCAAATACATTTTCTGTATGTTCAATAAAGTAGTATACCGGTTTCTCAAAAAAGAACCAAAATTAAAAATAGATTGGATGCTTAATAGTGAGGAAACACACTGCATTAGAATCATTCTAAAATGCCAGAATAGCAGTATATATATTTTGCACGTGGGTATTTCCTCAGATCCATTTAGCATTCAGAAGATATAAGAAATACAATGTCAGCAAATCAACCACATTTTCTTACACTGGATGAATTAGTAACTTATTTCTAACACAAACATTCTTAAGCCTTAGCATTTTCCTCCTGAAGATCCTTTACTATGGGTCCCAAATAAATACCAGTCTCAAGAATTAAGCAATTTTATAAATCACTAAAAAATAAAACAAATAACATAAAAATAAATACCAAAAATTCACCAATAGAACAAATTACAGAGTTATATATTTTAGCTTATTTTTTAATGCTTTAAAAACATACAGTTTAAGACATAAGAGACAGAATCTGGTAGTACCTATACCTGTCGCGCCTTCCATCTCGAGCACTGCTGTGACTGTAACTTGTACATAGTTTACTGAAGGACACTAGTTTCAGGTCAAGTTCATTTTCCAGCTGTCGAGCCTGTTTCCTGAGATCTGCAACAAAATTATAAAAGCAAATATTAGACACAAAAAGTCCATTATATACATAAAACTAACAAAACTATTCTAAAGAAAAAAAACTATGGAAATGATCATATATTGATCTAGATTCCCCAATAAAGAAAAGTGTTAAAAGGAAGAAACCAAAAACCAAAGGCGTACCCAGGAAAGCAAATTGCCACTTATTTAAACTTCAGATGGGGCAAAAAGGGGAGAAACATTGGGGGATGCAAATTTTCAGCTTTATCCCAAACATAGCTCGACAACAAATGTTGTTCTAACATCCCTGAAGTTATTTCTATAGCAATAAATAATTTTTGTAATTCAGACAAAATAGAAGAAAATACAAATCATAAAGGAACTGGCTATGGTTATGACCAGCATTATATCAATTTACCAGCTAACTTTATAAAAAAAGAAACCATCATTGTTTTTGACAGGCATTTTCCTATCTCTTTATGTTCCAAAGCTTTATTATTAGGCTTATGAAATTCTTAATAGAATGACTTGGTGATTGAGCATAAAGAAAAAAATAACCATTGACAAAGATAGAAACGTTGTCTTTCAATAAACTTACTAAAAGAAATTTGGAGAGGCTGAAATCAACAAAATGTGCTATTAACAAGGTCAAATATAGGTATAACAAAAATAAGCCTAAGTTTAAAAAAAACAAAAAACCAGAAGCAAACAAGCAAGCACAGAAATCGGTACAGTAGTTTGATATACATAAGTGGTTGAGTGAGAGAAGCCACAGTTCAAAAAGCTACATCTAGATGTAAGTGCTCTCATTCATGGTAAAGTGGGGGTCAAAATAAAAGGGCTGAAATATAGGGAAAATAGTGTAAGGATCTTATTTTTCAGGAATACAAAATACAAGCTATTATTCCAATATACGTATCAGTAACCAAATGTAGGAAGCAGTTTAACTACAGTGGAGCATCTTTTCCCAGAGACCAAATCTCAGAATCTCAGCTCAGCCTAAAGTTCTGAGATTCTAAGAACTGGCTCCAGATTTACTGAACCTCGGCTTTTTTTTCAACCCCCACCTTCAGTTTTTCTATGCATTAGTAATCATGTATTTAAAGCATATGGTTCAGAGTTAGGCCGTCAATAATAAGCTGCTATAATTAGTACAGCATGGTGCTTTAAAAAAAAACCCACAACAACTATAGCCTAATGACTAGTATTAAAGATACCAATAGCAACGTCAACATAAAAATATTTTCTAGCTAGTAGACATATTTCAAAGTCATTTTTTAATACATGTTTTAAACTATAATCACGTTTCTCTGTAATTAGAAACTGTCTAAGTAAAATAAACGTCAAGTAAAATAAAAACATTTTGAAAGTATGACAGGCAAGTACGGATGAACGTAATTAGAATTAAGTATCTTAGACCCAGTGGCTGATAGTAACAATACTGTTACTTGTAGTGGTTTCCAGAGGCTCAGCGGGTAGCAATAGGTTAAAAGGGAAAAAGGATTCGGAGAGCAGTCTCTACGCTGCAGTAAAGCAAAGGGACACTTAAAAGAAAAAATGTGAGCCTTCTCTCATCTTTGCTCACCATCATGGTCCAGAAATGAGTTTTACCTGAGCCCACTTTATAGTTTCCGTAACTAAATAAACGTACTTGTCAAATCACAAGATGGGTTTTTTGGTAGAGGAGGTAGAGCAAATGCAATCATTACAATTCACACTGGCTCCCTCAACTTTCTCTTTTTAACACAACTATCTCCGGAGCAGAGGGTCAAGTTATTTCCTTTGCCTTCAAACGCGACACGACACCCAATCCTTGAAGTCCCAGCCTGAAGCAGCCAAGGGGACCCAGGAGGAGACATGCCGCTCACACAACTTCCCTCGGTGAACCGGACTGACAAGTTCCTCCTTTATCTTTTCCTACTCAACTGTCTAAAGCGCTGACTCCTCCGGTCTCCTGCACTCGGGATATCCTCGCCCAACACTCGTTTCCTCTCCCGAGTTCATACCCCAAGCCCTTTCGTCCGAGTTCCGCTACCTTCAAACCCAGTTCTCGTCCGGCGTACTCAGGCCGGTCTTCCTCTCCATCCCCGCTCAGCGCTCTCGGTCCAACCCCGGCCCTGGTTCCCGCTGCCGCTCAGGTCAGCCCCCTGCCCTCTGCAGACCGTTCGGTCTCCTCAGTCCCCAGGCCCCGAGGCTCCCACTGGACAAGCCCCGCCCCTCAGCTCGGTTGCTCCGGGGGCCAGGCTGTTTCCCCTGCTGCCTCGCCCAAGACCCATTCTCACTCAGCCCCTCTGCCTCTAGACAAGTCCCACCCGGAGGCCTCGCCCTCACCTTCCCAGTAATTGCTGGTTCCTGCCGCCATCTTTGTTGTCCAACGTCAGTCGGGATTGGAGAGTAGAGACGGTGAGAGCCAGACAGTCACCTCCGCGCGTTCTTCCGCTCTGACGCCGGGGCCGATGGGATACGTGAGCTTCCACAGACACCGCCACCTGGCGGTCAACTCATCCTTTTACACATTTCGGGCAGCGAGATGGAAAATTACAGGTTTAACACCTGTCACTGTCTTTCTGGTCATCATATCCATTCTCCGCGCCCCAAACGTGCATCATCGCCCTCCGGCTGCGCTTATCCCTCTCTCATCAGGGGCCTACCTGGCTGAGATCCCTGTTTACCTCACCTTTTCGCGATGTCTATCTTCAGCCAGCCTCTTTCCCTTCTCAGAGCCAGAGGTTCTTTTCTTCCCAAGACCAACTCCTTCGTCCTACCTGCGCCTGTGCCCCATCATCCCACGATCTCCTACACGTGCTCTTCTCTGCTGGCCACCTTTCCCTCTACCTGCAGTAGTTACAGCTCCAGCCCTCTTTCCTGTCCAGCCACCAGATCTAGAACGTGTGTGCTGCTTCCATGTGCCTCATCTTGTTAAAATCCGCTGTCCAAACCCACCCTTTACAGATACATTCTCACAGTCTACTTGTGTCTACATTTTGCCTGTTCTAATGAAATGTAGAAACCTTACCTCCTGTAAAGGTATTTAAATCACACCTGTCCCTTTACACACTCCCATTTATAATTATCTTTAATATTTCCTCTACATTCACTGAGGACCATATCAGATAATTTTTTTAAAATTGGGGAACAGTGTGTTTTTCCAGGACCCATCAGCTCCAAGTCAAGTTGTTGTTCTTCAATCTAGTTGTGGAAGGCGTGGGGATCGAACCAGCAACCTTGGTGTTATGAGCACTGCCTTCTAACCAACTGGGCTAACCTGCCACCCTCAGATAATGTTTTAATTTTTGCTTTAACTGTCAAACATAATTTATAGAACTCAAAAGAAGAAAAGCCTAGTGTATTTACCCATATTTTACTCTTCGCACTTTTCTTTCTTCCTTCCTAATGTTCCAAGATTCCTTCTTTTATCACTTTCTTTCTGTTGCAAAAAATTCCTTTAACCAGTTTTTAGAGTAGGTCAGCTGGAGACAAATTCTATTAGTTTTTCTTCATCTGAGACTGTCTTGATTTCCCCTTCATTCTTGAAAGATATTGTTGCTGGATATAGAATCTGGGAAATCTGACAGTTTCTTTTTTCAGCACTTGAAAAATGTGGCAATTCCTCCTGGCCTCCACAGTTTCTCATGAGAAATTGGCTATTACTAGAATTGTTTTTCCATTATAACTAAGGCATCTTTCCTCTCTCACTGCTTTCAAAACGTTTTTTTTTCTTTGGCTTTCAGAAGGTTGATTATTGACTGACAACTGAAAAATCTGTAACTCGCATGGGACTATTTTTTTTTCTTGATCTTTCATCATTTTATATTGTCCTTTGATAATAAAAGTAACTTTTCATTCGATGCTGTATATTATAGATTAAAATTTGTAGCAATCATTTGAGGCTCCAGATGGTATCTTCCTCCAGAGACAGCTTACAGCTGCTTCTTGCAGACAGTTCAGGTAGGGACACATTAGCTTAGGCCAGTAAAGGGTGGAACTAAGACCGAGTGGGATTGTTTTGTAAAAATTGGTCTTTTTTAGATGAGACCTTCTAATGGGTAGTCACTCAAGTGTCCTAGTAGAAGCCTATTGAGCAAGTACCCCCTTCCTTGATAGATGCTGAACTCATATTTTCCCGGACCCACTGATACTGCCTACAGCTTCTCCTTGGGTTCTCTGCCTCCTGCCTGGCCTCTCTGCTACTTAGGTGTCTCTCTTATTCACCACTTATGAATCAACAAATACCTCAAAGTGAAACGTTACTATGATGTTCTCTCTCGAACTCCCTTCTGCCCTAGGATCTTGACCCCATAAGTTCTTATTACCTTTGTAGCTCTCCCATTCTTCAAGCAGGTTTTTTTTGGGGGGGTGGGTTGTTTTTTTTTAATACAGCTTTTCTAATTGTTCTTGATGGGAAGGGCTGTTTTAATCCAATCCACTCATAACTGAAAGTAGAACTAAATTCTTATTTCTAATTCACCAGATTATTTTATATTTTCCACATACGCAATCATACCTACCAGTAATGACAAAGGTATTTATCAATAGTCATGTTATTTATATTCTCAGGCATCATGGCTAAGGTCTCTTCTGTCACTATAACAAAGTTTAGGTACTTGAGTGAGGTTTTTGTTTGTTTGGGGAGGGGTTTTAAGTGCTCCAATATTGCAGTTCTCATTTATCTTGCAGGACTCTAAATTCTGTTGGAAGTTGTTTAATGTTTTCCCAGCACTTCCAAAGTATAATTTCACTGTACTCTGGTTTCTATTGTTGGGAGCGAGTCTAATCTCTTAGCCTAACTGCTAATACTTTGAACTTAATTTCTTTTCTCTTACTGCTTTACATATCTTTTTGTCTTCGGTGCTCTTTCACTGATATGTCTAGGTGTGGATGTTTACTTTTTCTTGGTTGGATTGAGTTTCTTTAATATGTGATTGTTAAACATGTTTTTGTCTCATATTAAAACTCCAAATTTTTACCGTTCTTCCTATTTCCTACCTTTTAGTCGCTGTGCTGCCTAAGAGAGAATTTCTATGGATCTTTCTTCTAGTTTATTTTGCTTCTCTGTGTCCAATCTGCCATTACAACTATCCATTTAACTTTAGTTTCTGTACATTTCTAGTTCTATTATTTGATAGTTTTCTGTGATAGTCTCAGACTTATATTTTGTTACTTTTTAAAATGTATTTATTTATGTAGGTGTTCAATTGCTCTGTCATTTGTTTTTTTTACATATTTTTATTGGGGAATTGGGGGATTGGAACAACGCTGGGGAATTGGGGGAAGGGGAACAGACAAGTTGCTGTCCTTTTGTTCTTCAGTCTAGTTGTAGAGGACGTTGCTTCACTGGCCCAAGTTGGCAACCATCATTGCACTCTTCCCAGGTGAGACAGGTCAGTTATCGGCTTCTGGACAGCCGCTCACGGAGGCTGCTGGCTACATACGGTAGCCCATGGCAACCCACTGCCACAGGGGCTGCAGCCTACGCCATCACCGACGACTCACGGCAGCCCAGCTCCAGGTTGAGCTGTTGTTCAGCATTTTAGCTGTGGAGGGCAGTGTCACTGGCCCTCATATGTGGGATCCGAACCAGGGTCCTCTGGCGTCCCAAGCCAGCTCTTAATCAATGCGCCACTCGGCCGGCCCATTGAACATCTTTCTACTCCAAATCTTGCTTGCCTCATCTACATTTGTTTACACTGTAATGGGGAATAGGATTCCATCTAACCCCTACAAAAATGCCAAAGAAATATCATGCTTGCTTTAACATTGTACTGATTAATGTAAGGTAGAAATTGATACAAATTGTGATATAAAGTTACAATTGGGCTTCATATGCTGATTTCTTTGCTTTTACATTGTGGGTAATAATGATGTATATATCTGAGGTTTGCAATAAGTAGCATATTATCAGTTGGCATTCTAACTGCAAGTGAGAATAAGAGACAAAGACCTACATGATGGCATTTATTCATAACTGAGTAGTGTATTAGCACTGAGCTTTGCTGAGAACAATCAGTTTCTAGAAATCTGAAAAACTGAACATAATCAAGATTACTGTTCATGATACAAATCAAAAGGTTCTTGATTCAGTTAAGAGAAAACTCCTGACAAAAATTCAGGAAAATATTTCAAACACTGGGGAAAAAAGAGCCATCATCACTGTTCAGATTTTGCAGCAGTTAATGCTGTTTTCACTGAAGAAGTACAAATACAATCTAATTTTATTTTAAAACAAATCTGAAGCAGTTGGCACAATTTTAAAAACCTTACTGCTATGCTATAGACAATCTACCACATAATGAAAAATTTCATAGCTTTTTTTTCTTTAGTATTCATGTCTCAGGGTTTCTTCTAAATTAAAAAGACCTCCTGTAAACCGATCTTTGTTTGTTCACATACTTGACAAAATAACTTTCTTTCAAAGGGATCAGAAAACAGCAAATGATGCTGGTTGCCATCATCATTCAATTCTGAGTTAAATAGTATGTTGGGCCCTTTGCTAAGATTATTTCATTTAGTTCCCATTACAATCCCATCAGGTATTATTCCTTCACCAGTAGAGAAAATGACACTCAAGATTACGTTAAGAAACTTGTACAAAACAAAGTCACATAGGGAGCAAGTGGCAGAGCCAAGAATCAATCCTAGATTGGTTCAACTCCAAAGTCTATGGTCAAATCTTTACACTATACTTCTTCTAGAGCAGACTTCCTTTTTAGAGGAACCAGTTACTATAGAAGCACAGCTTATTTCCATGTCTATTTCTCTGGTCTGGACTAGGAGGAGTTCCTTGTCAGCAGAGCCCATATTTCCTATGTAACTTTGCTTCCCCAATTCCTATTGGAGCAGCAGTATCAACAAATCACTGCTAAATGAATTCATCACCACTGTGCCGAGGAATGCCATGACAAATTATTCTCACTGGACTCATCTGTTAAAAGGACCAACTCTTTAACAAATGAGTTTAAAATGGGTACATAAACCTTTCAATGGCCAGTTCTGTGATTTTCATTGTAGAATGATTGGACATATGTCAACTGAGCTGGCTACAGACAGAAAGGAGAAATGTGGCTACTATATGATGTGATTATTTCAGAAACATAGTTTTCTTTTGCACCAATTCATGAAGATAAAAACACTCTACAGGTAACACCCTGCATTCCTAGCCTGGCACTATTTTTCTCCTAGTATAGGCAGAAAAGCTAAATACATAACTTTCAAATTGGAACTATACTTTTTTGGTCTATTGCTTTTGAAAAGAGATTATGAGACAAAACACAAAGAAAGACAAACATCATAAAATAACTTTTATACAGGATTAGTAGATCTGTTTACATATAAAAAACAGAAAGGACCTCATTACAGTTAGATTTCACATAAGTTACACAGATTGACTTTTTAAAACTATGAGTCAACTTTGTTTAAAGTCCCCTT